GCGTCTTCGCATTTGCATTTATGCAAAAACGTATAAAAAACCTGATAAAACATAGTTTTGCATATTCAGTTTGGTTGTCATGGGGAATGCATGTGAATCAATTGTGCACGAATGAATACGCTTGCACACAACTGATTGCTTGAAGAACCGATGCTTGCGTATTTCATGTTATGCAAATTCATGCGATTATATATGAGACACATCGTAGAAGAAACACTCACTGTAAACGACAGATTCAGTCCCGAAGGGCCAGAAATGTGAGTTGCTCGGAGACAGGAGCGAAGAAGACCGAGCATCGGGGAAGGCGGAGGAAGGTGCTCCTGGCGGCACACAGTGTGCTTGGCGATTTGCAATCAAAATTTGGGGAGGCTGGAAAGTCAAGTGGAGAGGGACGCGATCGAAAGCATTACTGCTCAAAGATGCTTGCTAAGGTGGACGACGAATTCAAGCGACGGATCAAAAATTGCGCAAATCGTTTTGGCAGAAGAAAGAACTGGAAAAGGCGGGTAAGGCTGTGATGGCGAAGATGCTGAGGGGGAAGCAGATCCAAGTACAAAGAGAAATGTTTCTGTGTTCCCCCTCGGACTCCAAAAGTGCTGCTGCGGTCATTGCCATGGATGTGAAGGCGAGAAATTCGAATCGCTCATGACTGTTATGAGAGAGGAACCTCGACATGGGATGATAGGTCGAGATGTCGCTTCAAATGGAAGTTGATTTACCGCTCCGCATGTTCAGTGTGAAAATCGCTTCAAGTGGCAGGTATCGAGATTCAAGGGGCGAATTCACTGCTTCAGTCAGTTCAGCATGAAAGTTTGCGACGTATTCTTTGGCTCGGAAGTGATCATGTGATAATGGTTTATCAGTGTAATGTTACATATTCTATTTGTCTCATAAAAAATTTTTCTGAAATTCACTGGTGTTCTGTCGCGCACACAGACAGATTTTCACAGCCTTCAAATTTGTCGGTACGGCTCTTTTCGAGAATGCGCTAACGAATGCAGTAAGCTCTGCCAAAAATATGAAACTAATCTGTGAATCCGGCAGGATGTTTTGCAGGGATAATATACCCAAAAAACACCAGGAAAGCACAATACGCCATGCTTTCAAAATCTAGCCTGTCCGTTAAGCCCAGGAGCAGTATACTGCTGATAACAATGAAATTCCTTTCTCGGGAGTAAAAAAAAAACAGCGGTGCATATCAGGGCAGTCGGTGCTATCATGCGTATTGAGTAGACCCGTCCAGCAGACGTTTGCCTGTTAAAAACTTAACTGTTTTACACTTTGCTGCGTGTAAAATTAGTCGACATGTTGTCTGACTCCTGAGCTGCAAAATTTCTCACAAAAAATTTCACATAACGGTATCTTTTTTTAATACTTTCTAGAAGGCGATTTTTTCTGCCAAAATTTTCGGGGGGCTGTAAACGAGATC